ACACACACCCTCCTGTCCACCTCACACACTCTGTCCACAAGAGCACGACACACACCCCTCCTGTCCACCTCACACACTCTGTCCACAAGAGCACGACACACACCCCTCCTGTCCACCTCACACACTCTGTCCACAAGAGCACGACACACACCCCTCCTGTCCACCTCACACACTCTGTCCACAAGAGCACGACACACACTCTGTCCACAAGAGCACGACACACACCTCCTCCTGTCCACCTCACACACTCTGTCCACAAGAGCACAACACACACCCCTCCTGTCCACCTCACACACTCTGTCCACAAGAGCACAACACACACCTCTCCTGTCCACTTCACACACACGCAAGAGCACGACATACACCTCTCCTGTCCACCTCACACACTGCCTGGCCCATTGCCAGCTCGTGCCTCAGTCTTAGGGAACAGTAGCCCAAAGACAGGAGAGAGTGAGTGGCAGTAGAAGACATCTTGGTTAGATCATCTAACTTAGATCTGAGTATCCAAGTACAGAAATGTGTTCTAGACAAAGGAAATGTGGCAACAAGCTATCTGATTGATAAAGTTATAGTATCTTGTAATTATGACAAAATTATCTTGTAATTATGAAAAACCTAAAATATTTTCATGAATGCAATCCCCTTCTTTACTTACACGATGCACTTTGTTATATTTCTCAGTCGCAATGCACAGTGCATTGTTACAGTTAGACGTTTTTACAGTATTGTTAGGCTATTCTTTGTTTTACGTCGCACTGTACAACCACCAGTCAAAAGTGTGGACATGAAACACCTTCTCATTCAATGTTTTATTTATTTATTTACTACTTTCTACATTTTATATGAATACAGAACACAACAAATACATGATGCAAGATATATGGTATTATGTAACAAAGAAAAATAACTCAACATAGTATTATTTATATTTTATATTTAAATTCTACAGTTTCCAGCCTTTGCTTTGTTTACAGTGAAGTGTCTCAGATATTCAAGAGACTTTATTTCACAAGACATTTTACAGTTTACTTTAGCACACATGCAGAGAAAAGCTTTTATTAAGAAGTTTACATGTTTTACAAAAGTGTCAGACCACCTTCAATCAGTTCTATATACACAAGTCAAAACACACTGTTGTGCCCCACCAAAGGCCCAAAGTGATGAGGAGATGGCTCCAGTTCCACATGGACAGGTGACTCTTGTGTCTTAATGTCCTGAAAAAAGACATGGTGACATTCAACAGGATGACACATAATGTTTGTAACATTTAGACTTAGCACATTTCACACCACAGCACATGTGACAGGTTTTCTTAGTTTTTTTTTTTTTTTTTTACCAATTAGTTACCAATTTTGTGTTGTACTAGTACATGTACTATCCCACCAGACACAGTAGATGATAAGCTAAAATGTAACTAAGTAAAATCGGAACATATAATTAGACACGGTGCATTGATGAAGTCATTGTGTGTGTCTGACACAGTGACAGTTTCAAAGTGAAACTTGGGTCTTAAAACCAGCGGCTTCAGTTTCCCCAGAGGTGTGATGTAACCTCCACACTGCAGCGTCCACAAGACATAACACACTCTCAAAGCTTTTGGTTTGGACTAAGTTTCTCTGTTCACACAATCAAGTTCAACTGGTGCCTGCTGTGAAGAACACGGCATGCTGGGTAATAAAATTGTGTAGAATCAAGCACATGTACCAAACAAGATTCAAACTCCAGTCCTCAGAGCTCAAGTCCAGTGTCTTAGCAGCTGCCGTGTGCACAGAGAGAAACGCCTTTGACGTAGAAATAAAGCAGCAGATTACCTGCTGACCTGCACAGTTTGGTGACATGTGCTCGTACAAACAGGTGAACCAGTGTCAGCCGTGACTGAGGCAAACTCTGTATTAAGTCTGAGGTGTTAAGGAGAAACAGTGAAAAGGTTAAACAGAAGGAAAGTGTTTTGAAGTGTTAATACTGATGATGAAAGATTTGAGAAGGTTTTAGGTTAAAACAGCTTCATGCAGAAGTGTAAGTAAGAGGCACATTGGCTTCATCTTGTGGTTAAATGTACAAACTGCAGAAGAGCCAAGAAAGGTTTCCAATAGAGAGAGCCATTCACAAATCAGTCACAATATTCAATTTAAATTCATACTTGGAAAAACTATGAGAGTGACACATGAGAAAAATGGATCATCATAGTAGTAGGTGTTGAAAAATGTCCTTTTTTTTGTGCCCCCCTATTTTCCTGAGTTACATTAAAAGTGGAGTATGTAGCTTGAACTGTTGGTGGTACAAAGTCACAATAATCCAAACTGTTTCAGTTGTGAGGAGCTCATTCTGCTTTCTGATTGGAACATCATCTTGAACCAGAACACCACATCTGGACACACCAATGACCAAATATTACCTTCTGCTGCTGAATGTGTCAGTACTTCAGAGAAAACACACAGACGTCTTCCTGCTCTCTGTTTCTCTTGTCTGAATTTGAGTTGGACAAAAAAAACAAAAAGAAAACAGAATAGTTACTAGTTGTTCAGTCTGAAAACAAACTGAATAATAATTAAACTCACAGATTACTTGGAGCTCATGGGAATGGGTGGATGGATCTAAAAAACATCAGTATCAGTATTATGTTTTTAGATGTTACACTTGTGTTTGAGGTTTTTATTTTTCATCGACTCCACACTGCTCCAAATGAAATGTTACACTGACCGTGAGGAGCAGAGGTCGCCTGATCTTCAGCAGATGTCCACTTGGTTTCCTGGGACCTTTGAGTAGATATTATATTGAGCACCATAATACATTGATTAAAGGGTTTGTTATCTGCTTGTTGCCATGGAAACGTCTTTGCTTTGCCTTGAATGGTTCACAGTTGTTCAATTACAGATGTTGTTTCAGCTGGAAAATACCTTGGAAAACCTGTATTCTTAGTGTGTGTGCTCGCCTTGCCACAGATCTAACCTGCAACTTGGCCTATGCAACACCACCTGCTTGTCTCCATGGCGATCACGAAGTTTAATGTCATACTAAGGAACATCTATAGCAAAGTAGACCCTCCTCCAGAAAAGTTTCATGCCCCTTTGAAAATGCACTAAAATCATTCCTAAGTGTGAGGACTTGTACTTTACTGACCTTCCAAAGGTGGTGCAGTAGTGCCACACAATCAGTAACAGAATGAGCAGGACAATCATGCCAGCTACCAGCCTCATCACAGCCAAAACAGGAACACTCTCCTCTCTGGTCACTGATAAGAACAATATTTTACAAACAATAAAACAACAACATTTATTAGTCAAATTTCACCTTGATTTCACCTTGGCCATCTGCCTCGGTTTCACTTTGCTGTACAAATGTGCACGGCACGAAACTTAATGCACATGAATATTAACCATGTTCCAAAGGGTTAGAGCTAGAAACTACAGATAAATATAAGTACCTACATCCTCCTTTAGTGGTTTGAAAATCAGAGATATCCCAGCATTAATTCCAACTTTGTGACTGCCTTGACATGTATTTTTCAGATTTGACTAGAAATTAAGCAAGTTTTTGTGAAAAAAGTATAAACTTCTTTTTTAAGGAGGGGTTTTACCCCACTATGGGGTAACTGCTAACACATATTATTATTAACACCTTTTATTGTTTTGCTGCAAAAACAGAGTAATGTGTAAATAAGCTCAAATTATCTACAGAGCACTGCAGTCACATTTATGTGACCAGAAAATTCAAATACTTATGAGATAAGCCAATAATAAAATAAAATAAAAAAATTGTGTGTGTTTCCATGCCCAACAGAAATGTATCATCAAAAACTCCTGATGACATGTGCCAGTTCATTTGTGGAGTCACTGACATAAGTGTTGTATTTTAAAGTCAGTGTATAATACATTTTAAAATAAGTCTTCATGTAAACATAGCCACAGTCATATTGGACTCACCGGTCACCTGCAGCTTGGTCACCTGGCTCCACTGTGTTTGCTCATATGCTCCTCTGGTCCCTCTGCAGCTGTAGTCTCCACTGTCAGACTCAGACACATTGGAGAGGACATATTCTCTGACTGTTGTAGGTAACATAACTCCTGTCCTATTCCATTTATAAGTCCACTCTGTGTTTCCTTCATCCTCCACCTCACACCTGAGAGACAGACTCTCTCCAACAAACACCTCTGTCCAGTCAGGCTCAGGCTGCACCACTGCTCTGTTTGACACTGTAAAGAACGACAACTGTATGTTTCATCATCAAACTGGAGCTATTATTAACACATGAAAAAGAAGACAGAGGTCAAAGGTCAAAAGTGTATTTTGTAATCTGTAGTAGTCGTGTCTTTGAAGGCTTTTTAGTCATGAGGCCTCGTGGAGCATCACTTAATTGGTGATAGGAGCATGTTCCACAGGCAGGAGACCAGAGGAAGACCTTGGACATGTCTCTCAGGTCTGGGAAAGTCTCACTTACACCGTCTAGTTTGATTTTTAAAGGATTTCTGAACTGTTTACAAACCAAGTCCTCTCACCACTGAGCCACTTCTGCCCCAATATAGTGCAACCAGAGGAGCTCTTCTCTTATGAAACACCTGTGGTCACTGGACACTTTGCTCAACAAATTCTTCTCAATTCATAACCGTACGGCACACATGATAATGTATAATGTACTAGAAATAGTTGCAGTATTTAAAAGGAAGGAACATATTGTTGGTGCTGAGATATACAGTGTAGGAATAATGCACTCACCAGTTTCCCAAATGGTGACAAAGTCACTTTCAGGTGTGAGAATCAGCTCTTGTTTTCCTCTGCAGGAGTACACACCTCCACGATGTACAGAGATAGTGGCTGTATCTTCATTTAAGATCTCAAAGTGAGAAGTATGAGCAGAAGTTCGTCTGATCCATTGATATTTCTGAATCCATTGTGTCTGACATCTCAGCCTCACCCCACCACGCTCTGGGATGAAGAACCTGTCTGTGCTCAGATTAATACTTCTGCCTGTAGAAGGAAAATAGATAGACAAGGCTGTTTGTAGAGCTAAAGGAGTTTGTCTGTTCATTATAAAAACATTATTGAAAGACTCTTGACACTACAGACCTGGGTATATTGTAAGTCTTTGCCCTGTGTACACTCTTGCTCCATCGATCCCACAGGAGTACCAGCCCTGGTCTGATTCTGAGGCTGAGTGGATTATCAGATCCACTGTTGTTTCAGATGTCCGGTTAAACTGATGGTTTGTGTCTGGTTTCATTATGACTCTATCTTTGTTGAAGTGCAGGTGTTTGTTGGAGGGTCCCACACACCGCAGAGTCACTGTGTCTCTGAGACAGGGCCATGAAGGCATCTGCAGTGGTAGACCTGCAAATCCATTCAAATGTGTCCAGTTACTGTGATTATATCTGCCATGTCTCACTGTTCATCTCCCCACCACTTTCACTCAAAGGTGGGTGGAGTAACCAAAAACTGTACTCAAGTAAGAGTAACGTTACGTCTAAATCATATTACACAAGTAGAAGTACAAAGTAGTGGTCCAAGAAATTCCACAAGAAGCCTAAAGAGTAAAAAATTTGAAAAACTAGATATAACTAGAGAGAGAAACAACTACTCAATAAGAGTAACTGTCATAACATCTGATTTATAATTTGAAGTTAATGTTCATGCAAAAAAAATATTTCTCATGTAGGAGTAAAAGTATGCAGCTAGAAAAGTACTTTGAAAAGTACAATTTAAAAAAGTACAATTTCTTTAAATATTTTTAAGTTGTATTTGTGTACTACCCACCTCTGTTTCACTTGCAGTCAGTGTGATGTTGTGTTTGGTTTTATGCTGTTCTGAGTTCTCTCTAATTCTGATCCCCGTGACCAAACAAAGTGTCCAGACCATACTACACTATTCCTAATGTAGCCCATTCTATTATTACCAACAACAACAAACTAATGAACAGTGTGTTTTTACTCACCAGTCTCCCAAATGTCGACTGCATTACTTTCTTTAGTGATGATCAACTTATCCTCCCCTCTGCAGGAGTACACTCCTCCACGAGTTACATGGATAATACTTGTGTGCACATTCAGAATTTCAAAGTCAGGGGCATTAAATGAAGAGCGTCTGAGCCACTGAGAGTTTGTAAATCCCTGTACAGAACATTCCAGAGTCACACTGCCCTGGACTGGAACAGTCCTACTGGAAGCTTTCAGCGGAATAACACGAGACCAACCTGCACAGAGACAAGTCATTCACACAACAGGAATCAACAGTTTATATTTTTATATGTTGTTTTATTGAATAATAAAAACAGATTCACAAAGTTTTACACTGTTGGTACTTACTTATAACCCGCAGTGGTATCTGACCATATGATGTCTTGTCATTTTTCACACATGTGTAATTTCCTTGATCTGTATCAGACACTGAGTTGATGTTGAGCTCCACTGTGGTGTGTGTCCTTGTGATCTGATGAGAGTGATCTTCTGTCACCATTCTGTCATCTTTGTAGAGGTTCATCTGTGTCATGTCTACAGTCGACCCCACACACCGCACAGTCACTGAGTCTCTGAGCCATGGATGGATGGATGGAGCTTCCACAGTCACACCTGTGCACAGACCCATGTACTATTGACTTTGGTATTAGTTACAAATGCATCTCAAGGTTTATTACAGTTTGTTTGAAATGTGCATTCTTTTACAGCAAGACTCGTTCTACACCAGATCAACTCTCCTTTCCTTCATGAAATGTTCCTCTGTGTTTGTAAAGTTCATGTTTACAATACCTTCCCAGTTCTGACCATTTCAACTGAAGATTCTTCTATAATTAAATATGATAAAATATTGTACATGTTTTCTTTATTCTATTTCATACGTCCATAATGTAACTTTCTTACTCAAAGTATTTTATTTTATCTATAATTTCTCATCCCCTTTTATTCTTTGGAGTCATTCTTGTATCTTTTCTTCTTTTTTATTACCATGATCATTAAACAATTTTATATTACTGATTTGATTTTCAGGATTTAAAATGACTTTATATTACAGGTTTTGATTTAGATTTCTGAAAATCAATTTGAAGGGTGGAGAATATAGAAAAAATAATATATAAAACGTAAAAATATATAAATTATAGTTCTAGCTTATTTGCTCAAGAAAATATGAAAAAAAACAACAAAAACAAATGGAAATAAATAAATAAATAGAGGAAGATTGTTGACATTGGATAGAAGAATAATATCAGTGCAATTACTTGTATTCTCCAGGTAATCTTACAGTCTAATGGTCGGTTGGTACAGATTTATGTTACAGTTTTTTCTTATTTTGAGGCAAACATCTTCAGTTAAATTGTTCTCTCATTCCTCCCACATTGATTGTCTTAGTTTTCCTAAACCTTTCATTTTAAATGTGATTTGTTCCATTTCTTTAGTCTACTTACTCTGATTTTTTCACTTCTCTATAGTTCAGCTTTTTTGTAGCCAGTGAGTTGTAATTCATTTGAGAGCACTTATTCTTAATATCCTTTGTCAGAGATTTCATTCAGAGTCATTCCAGCAGTATTACAGTTGACTTTATTTTTCCATGTAGTTTCATTAAACGTTTGATTTCATTATATATATTTTCCCAAAGTGATTTTAGAACTGGGCATGACCAGAAGAGAGGAGAGGAGTTCACTGAATCAAAACATGAGTAAAAAAGGAGCATAATGTAGTTACCTTGGGTTGTTTCCCAGAGGACAGCGATGAGATCTGAAATGAGAATAGTAAAGAGTGGACAAAGGCCTGACTCTGGACTTGTATTAAAGTGAATGTACTCACAGGAGCAGAGCAGAGACCAGACCCGAGGAGAGCCCATCCTTAAACCACCACTGATCTGCACAAAGACAAACTCTCACCTACACTCGAGAGAGGAAGGCAAAACCTTTATATTCAAACCTGCAAACCCTGCATTTCCTTCCTTTTCACACTGAAATGCTTTTCGATTCCACTTACATGATGACATAGAGTGCAAAAAGGTGTTCACTTTAGCAGATTGTCCCCATTATATTTGTCCTAATGTCACTAGATTTCAGACACATCAGGAGTAATACAGGGCTCATTGGACAGGACACAGGCTGTGCTCCGAGACACAAACAGGAGGAGAAGTCTCAGTGTGATCTTTACACCATAACATACTGTCCTCTCTGTTCCTCAGTACAGACTCTGCACTGCGTCCACTCCACACTCCATATCTGTGGATGTTCCAGGTGTGTGAAATGTTCTTTGTCACAGTGAGGGACAGAAGGACACTGGACAAACAGTTCTCCATCATGGACACTCCTGTTCACCCACTGCACCAGACTATTGATACAGTGACATCATGCTGAGGGTGTTCTACATGTGTCTCTATTGGTAGAATGTGCAGCAGTTACCATGGTGACACAGTGCACAAAGTGCAAACACAGACAAGAAAGATTTCAGATTGTCTGAAAACTGAATGAAAAAATGCACAATGGATGTACCTGGATCAATGATATTTAATCTTATCTTGATCCTTACACTTTTACTCAGCTACACATGTATTTATTTTATCATAGTTAGATTTACTATTAGGCTATTCATTGTTTTAAATCAAAAGTATGGACACGACACACCTTCTCATTCTCATTTATTTACTACTTTCTACATGTTATATGAATACAAAACACATTAAATGTATGATACAAGATCTATGGTATTATGTAGTAAGTAAGTAAGTAAGTCTTTATTTATATAGCGCTTTCACAGACATTTTCTGTCCCCAAAGACGCTTTACAGAGCATTATTCAGCATTATTCATTCAGCATTCATTCACTCTATACCCTGGTGATGGTAAGCTACTATTGTAGCCACAGCTGCCCTGGGGCACACTGACAGAAGCGCGGCTGCCAGAAAAATCAGTAAAGAAAAAAAAGTTTAAGAACTCAACTAAATATTATTTATATTTAAATTCCACAGTTTCCAAGCCTTTGCTTTGTTTACAGTGAAGTGTCTCAGATATTCAAGAGGCTTTATTTCACAAGACATTTTACAGTTTACTTTAGCACATGCAGAGAAAAGCTTTTATTAAGAAGTTTACATGTTTTACAAAAGTGTCAGACCACCTTCAATCAGTTCTATATACACAAGTCAAAACACACTGTTGTGCCCCACCAAAGGCCCAAAGTGATGAGGAGATGGCTCCAGTTCCACATGGACAGGTGACTCTTGTGTCTTAATGTCCTGAAAAAGACATGGTGACATTCAACAGGATGACACATAATGTTTGTAACATTTAGGCTGCATTCACACATCAAAATTGTCAAACTAGGGAAAACTGTGTAAGATGATAAGCAAACTGTAACTAACTATAATTAGACACGGTGCATTGATGAAGTCATTGTGTGTGTCTGACACAGTGACAGTTTCAAAGTGAAACTTGGGTCTTAAAACCAGCGGCTTCAGTTTCCCCAGAAGTGTGATGTAACCTCCACACTGCAGCTTCCACAAGACATAACACACTCTCAAAGCTTTTGGTTTGGACTAAGTTTCTCTGCTCACACACTCAAGTTCAACTGGTGCCTGCTGTGAAGAACACGGCATGCTGGGTAATAAAATTGTGTAGAATCAAGCACATGTACCAAACAAGATTCAAACTCCAGTCCTCAGAGCTCAAGTCCAGTGTCTTAGCAGCTGCCGTGTGCACAGAGAGAAATGCCTTTGACGTAGAAATAAAGCAGCAGATTACCTGCTGACCTGCACAGTTTGGTGACATGTGCTCGTACAAACAGGTGAACCAGTGTCAGCCGTGACTGAGGCAAACTCTGTATTAAGTCTGAGGTGTTGAGGAGCAACAGTGAAAAGGCTCAACAGTGAAAGACCAACGGAGTTAAAGGGCCCATCTCATGCAAAATCAACTTTTCAGAGCTTTCTACCTTCTAAGAGTGATGTGTGGGCCTTGTGTTTGTCGCAGAAGTGTTTTTTAGATTAATTTGGCGTTTTTTTTAAACAAATTGCAGCGTATTTCTGCCTCCCTCCCACGTGACAATGAACTAAAGCCTGCTACAACGATGATGCAGCCAGCTCACTCAGAGCCTATGTCACGTGTGGAGGGCGGAGTGCTTTCTCAGGATGGGCGGGGGGATGAGCAATAGTCAACCTTTCATAGTTCTTGGTCTGTGACTGCTTCTGAGAAATCAGTAAGATTTCATAACTATTGTGTAATGGATGTTCCAAAACCCAAATTGTGCTTGTTTATTTTAACTTCTTAGGTTCCTTTTAAAGTCTTCAGAACTGTTCTGAAGATGGCTTGCAGCTAGCAGCCGAAACATGTCAACAAGGTAAATACACTTTACTGCATTGTCTTTAAAAGGAACCTAAGAAGTTAAAGTATATAAGAAGACATAATGAACATCATTGGCTGTGCTTGTTTATGTGCAGAAGATACAATGTGAAAAGAATTATTTTGCATGAGATGAACCCTTTAATGAATTAAAGTGTTTTAGGTTAAAACAGCTTCATGCAGAAGTGTAAGAGGCAGATTGGCTTGATCTTGTGGTTAAATGTACAAACTGCAGAAGTGCCAAGAAAGGTTTCCAATAGAGAGAGCCATTCACAAATCAGTCACAATATTCAATTTAAACTCCTGTCCTCTTCCATTTATAAGTCCACTCTGTGTTTCCTTCATCCTCCACTTCACACCTGAGAGACAGACTCTCTCCAAGAAACACCTCTGTCCAGTGAAGCTCAAACTGGAGCTATTGTAGTTCGAGAAGCAGGTCCACTCCTCAGGATGTCTTTTGCTACATTTTTTTCACTATTATTATATGGGCCATCACAAGTTGATAGGGACCAACCCCAACTCAGCCCCATTTGGTCTCAAGGCCCAAAAAACACCTTTAAAAAAAAATTATGTAACTGTAAAGGTAACATGTGAGCTTGTAAAAGGGCACACCCCCTAGCATCTCATTCTCTGACCTTGGCGCACCTTCGGGATAGGGCCCCGCCTTGTCGTGCACAGGTAAACAACCGCTGTTCTCTAATTACAATTTGCAAGTTTATAATTTAACATATGCCCGATCTGAGTTATGGATCATCATGTAAAGCTCCTGTGTGTATTTAATGTTGATCTTTACAAGTGCCGCTGTTACGCGCTGTCCACTGTTTGGTCGGTTATGCTGTCAGATGTCCTGGCTGCTCGGTGTCAAGCCTCGTGGATTGAAAAGTGTGTGTTTTGTGGAACGTTGGCTGGTCACTAGTTTAGGTTCACGTATGGGGGTACTAACGTAAAAAAAAAAAAAAGTATTATTATTATTATTATTATTATTATTATTATTATTATTATTATTATTATTATTATTATTTTAAGGACAAAGTTATTGTTGTTGGTGAAGCTTCTAATTGGCATCTCTTAAAGTTAACCCAACAAGAAGAAACAAATGAATAATGGTTATAACAAATTATGTCATGTTTTGTAAATCACTTGTCTCTGTCTGTCAATTCAAACATATATGAAAATGGGCAATTACAAGTTCAAAGTTTTGTTCTACACTTTTTCACATTATATTCTACAAGTTCTCAAATCAAGTTTACATGCTCTTCCAGTTTGCAACATATTTACCTTCATAGTCTACTGGATACTTGACTCCATAGATGTTACTGCTTTGCCATGAATGTTTCTTGGTATGGCATTAAACTTACTGATCACCATGGAGACAAGCAGGTGGTGTTGCATAGGCCAAGTTGCAGGTTAGATCTGTGGCAAGGCGAGCACACACACTAAGAATACAGGTTTTCCAAGGTATTTTCCAGCTGAAACAACATCTGTAATTGAACAACTGTGAACCATTCAAGGCAAAGCAAAGACGTTTCCATGACAACAAGCAGATAACAGAAAAAATAGATTATTGTCATGCTGATTTATTCTTAATTACAAAAACAGTAGACATGATGGTTAAGTTGTTTACCACGTGGTGTTCTGGTTCAAGATGATGTTCCAATCAGAAAGCAGAATTGTTTTACCACCAACAGTTCAAGCTACATTACTACTACATACTCCACTTTTAATGTAACTCAAGAAAAAAGGGGGCACAAAAGAAGGACATTTTTCAACATCTACTTCTATGATGATCCATTTTCACATGTGTCACTCTCATAGTTTTTTCTAATATGAATTTAAATTGAATATTGTGACTGATTTGTGAATGGCTCTCTCTATTGGAAACCTTTCTTGGCTCTTCTGCAGTTTGTACATTTAACCACAAGATGAAGCCAAAGTGCCTCTTACTTACACTTCTGCATGAAGCTGTTTTAACCTAAAACCTTCTCAAATCTTTCATCATCAATATTAACACTTCAAATCACTTTCCTTCTGTTGAGCCTTTTCACTGTTGCTAATAAGGTAATCTGCTGCTTTATTTCTACGTCAAAGGCGTTTCTCTCTGTGCACACGGCAGCTGCTAAGACACTGGACTTGAGCTCTGAGGACTGGAGTTTGAATCTTGTTTGGTACATGTGCTTGATTCTACACAATTTTATTACCCAGCATGCCGTGTTCTTCACAGCAGGCACCAGTTGAACTTGACTGTGTGAACAGAGAAACTTAGTTCAAACCAAAAGCTTTGAGAGTGTGTTATGTCTTGTGGACGCTGCAGTGTGGAGGTTACATCACACCTCTGGGGAAACTGAAGCTGCTCTTTTTAAGACCCAAGTTTCACTTTGAAACTGTCACTGTGTCAGACACACACAATGACTTCATCAACGCACTCTGTCTAATTATATTTAGGATTTCAGTTAATTACAGTTTGATAATCATCTTACCAGTGTTGTGCAAGTTCACACTTTTCATGAACTAGTTCAAAGTTCAGTTCACACTTGTTCAAAGTGA